ACCTTGGTTTGTGTAGTGTGTCCTTTCTCCAGTTTACATCAAAATGATCCGGGATCATTGGACGCAATTTTGGTAGTATAACTTTGTATAACTTTATCAGATTAGGTAAAATGGAAACACTGCAATCCCAGACTTCAAACCAATTGCGTCAGTGATTCTTCTTTCCACAGAGAGGCTCTTGTCCAATCTATTTCAAAGTTCTAAAATTCAGAATATATTGTGAGAATTTGCTTCAAATGGTATCGCATTAAGGACACTTCCACTCGCTTACAACTTCTTCTTAAGGGCTTCTTTGCCACTTTTATTGAGTCACACTCAAAAGTCCACACAGGTTTTCCCTCGCAGGGGATTTTTAAACAAAGTACAGCTTTTTCCTTCAGTAAAAAAAAATTTTCAAAGTCTCACCAACTTCAGGTTGTCTACGAAACCCAGGCTATATCGAAAATGCTTGCCTCACAGGCTGTTTCTTGTCCCCTTGCCATGTAGGCTGCTTTTTACCACACAGGTGATCTGCTCCCCAGTCTGCCAGACACACAGACTGGTTCCAGGGTTAAGCTGCTTTGTTAGGAGGCTGGGAGTTCTTGTAGAGACCCTAACAAGCCAGCTAGCTGTAGCTGGGCTTGTTACCTCCAAGCCTCCAGCCCTCTCTGCACTTCCCCCCTAGATGAAGAACCTATTAGACTTGAACCTAGACATTTGTATTTGTCTGCTGCCACAATACCCACTTGTAAAGTATCACTTTTGTGCCTCCGAAGGAAACAATGGATAATACATTTCTTGCTCCCTTTGCTAGCTTAAGCTATTGTAGGTTTAGTATGCCAAATATTGCCCATTCAGACACTGGGGGATGTAGTTGACAAAATGTTCAGTTGTGTATTGAGCAATCAGCCCCCCATTTATTGTATTTTGGGACAAGCCAAGAAGGCGTGATACAGGTCTGATTGATCAAGTCCAGATTTTAAGCATTGGAAAGTGGTCGGTGGCTCCATGAAGTCAGACGCACAAAGGAGAGCTCCCGCTACAGATCCTGCTTATACTCCTGGGACTGCCTGTCTTTTCACCTCAATTCAGCCTCAATCTCAACCTGAATTGCCTTGCCACTCACCCAACTCTTTCAGTGGTTGCCATGGCGAAGAAGAAAGTAGTTAATAGGGATAAATCTACCTTACTTCTCCTTGATCTCTTACCTGCTCCCTTGGCCTCAGAATTTTCACTTTTACATGTTTAGTCCTCCGTCATGTATTTAGGGATACATTTTACCACGGTTTTATCAGATTATCTCCCTCTCAATTTGACTCTTCTGCAAAATTCTAAATCATTGACTCATATCAAATCAAGTCTTGGCTTAAACTTCCTCTTTCGGTTCCTGGCAGGGTCAATCTGATTAAAATGGTTTGGATGTCTCAACTTCTTTATGTCTTAGATAATTCCACAATTTTGATACCTCGGAAGATTTTTGATCAGATTAACACTGTCTGTCGGGATCTTATCTGGAGACAGAAGCAAGCTAGATTGGAATTGGATACATTGCAAAGACCTAAGGACTCTGGTGGCATGGCCCTTTCCATTCATTGGCTATACTTTAAAGCTTCTCAATTGCAGCATCTGGCTAGTTGGGCACAGGGGGGAGCCCATCCACAGTGTTTTGATATTATTTTTAGTCTTTTTGCTGGATTTGATCTCTTGCGATATTTGGAGTGGTTTTTATGTCAAGACTTATTCTCACTTTCCTACTTTGAAATTGATGTCTCATTTGGAATGTAGCCAAAAATCTACTTCACATCTCTAATCTTACCAGGTATACGCCTCTCTGGAGGAATGGTTATTTACCTGAACTCATTCCTTTAGAGGGATTTCATGCTTGGTGTCAAGAAGGGATATGTACTGTTGATCAGCTATATAAAGACAGTGTTTTCTGTTCTTTCCAATACCTACAATCCCAATTACATAAAAACAGCTTTTTTCAATTTCTCCAGGTGCACCATGCGTTGCTTTCTCAATTTTCTTATGTGTCTCTTAAATTTTAGTAAAAATGTATGTCTCCGATGCATTATTTTCTTCAGTGCACGCTAAAGGGATGATCTCCTTTTTATACTCTCATTTTTTGCTTCAATCGGTGCCTCGATTTCCGCTGCCCTGCAAAAAAGGTTGGGAGAGTGATTTGGGTCCCATATCTGATGACATATGGAATGATGCTCTAGGAAATGTTACACACGTCTACCTCCCCATTATTTACAGACTGATGCAATTGTTTGTGGTACACAGGATATACCATACTCCTGAATTCTTTAGGATAGGCTTCAGAGTTGATTCATGTTCTAAGTGTGGTTTTCATCAGAGCTCCCCAATTCATTTACTGTAGAGATGCCCCAAACTGGTACGCTATTGGCACAAGGTAGTTTGCACTCCTATTTTTGACGTAGCACTGACTGCCTCTCCACTTCTTTGCCTTCTAGGAGTCTTAGATGACCCTGATTTAGATTCTCCAACACTGTTGGCTCTTAAACGTGCGTAATTTACAGCCACTCGCATTATTGTAAGCCCTCAGGGGCAGGGCCCTCCTTACCATCCTGTCTTGAATTGTATTGTGATTGTAATGTCTTCCTTATATTGTAAAGCGCTGCACAAACTGTTGGCATGATTTAAATCCTGTATAATATGAATAATTATATTGTGCACAAATGAATTTTACCCTTCACTCCAAAGGTTTCTTCTTGGATGGTGTAACTTGATAGAATTATTGCCTTTGAACGTATCACTTATCAATAGAGGGGCTCCATGAACAAATTCTACTTGATATGGTCCAAATGATTATCGTTCCATGCTACTAATGTGTTTTCCTGATCTCCCTATTAGGTGGTAACTGATTCTACTATATTCTTTTTTTTCTTCTTATTGTACTGCAGCTCCATTTGACTAATATAATTTCTTAATGGTTTTGGTTTTTTGTATTTTCAAAGAGTTGAGGATATCCTCTATAGTATGAGCTGGTGTGATGGATCTATTTGTCCATTCCTGTAGGGGTTTACAAATAGTCTGCGAGCAGTATTTTGAATAATTCCATGATATTGCTCATTTATCTGTATTCATTTCTGCCAGTATTCCATCTACTGGGTTAGACCAATCAGTGGGAGAAAGTGTTTTTAATAATCCTTGAGCCTGTAAGAATGCAAAGAGCTCCTTTTTAATATGTGGTTATTTCTCTTAGGCATCATCAAAGCGGAATGGTTTGTTTTGAAGGTATTGATCAGGGATTTAGTCAATGTTATTCCTGTTGACCAGTCGTTATATACATTGCCCTTAGAGGCCTATTTTTATTTTTTATTTGCAGTAGATACTGATTATGTTCTACATTTTTTTTACATCTAAAGTCAACAACTACTTTTACCTTTTCTGAATTCTATTCTAATTCTCTCAACATTGTTTTCTTATACTAGGAAGTCCTTCATATAAAAGCCTTTCCAATAGCTAATCTCATCTAAGCAATGTCAGTTGGCATGTTTGTGTCAGATGTAATGCTTTTAGTACTTGACCTATTGCTTTGTATATGATAGAAAGTGTTTTATACCTTAACATTGAGTTCCATTTATATGTCTAATTGAAAACAATAAAACTTTGTCAAATAAAGTGTAGCTTACTAACCAATAAAGCAATAAAGATAACTAAACGTTAACTCACAAGAAAAATCACCTCAAATAACCCAATTCATTTTAATTATACTACTTTCAAATTACATCAATACATATTAAATTTGGCTAGTTGACCATCTCCAGCTTTTAAAATAAAAGAAAGCAATCAGTACAGTGTAAATCAGAAGAATACAATAGGCAGCTTGCATCATTTATTTTATATATTAAAAAAATCTGAACTCATGATTCAGACCCTGAGCTAATCCAACAGTAGGGCAATAATCAGGGATGTGCACATCTGGTTTCCAAGGCTACGCATTTCTAAGAAAAGAACATAATGCCAACATAGTTACATATAGTAAGTATATAAATGAATACAGTCACTTAAAACAGAGGAAAGAAAAAAAAAATGTACCACACACACATATAGTGCAATATAAATGGGTAAGCCGTATTAGTCCAGTAGACAAGATGTCAAAAAAGACAAAAACGCAGTATTGCAGTGTGCAATGATACCTTTCTTATTGGACTAACAAAATATATAAAAGACAAGCTTTCGAGAGTGAACCTCTCTTCTTCAGGTCAGAAGCTATATATAGATATGTCAAAAAAGACAAAAACGCAGTATTGCAGTGTGCGATGATACCTTTTACAAAATCTGCCTATTGTATTCTTCTGACCTCCTAGTATAAGAAAACAATGTTGAGAGAATTAGAATAGAATTCAGAAAAGGTAAAACTAGTATTTGACTTTAGATGTTATATATATATATTTTTTTTTTTTTTCAGCCTGCAATATAACAGCATATGGTCAGATTAAATGTATTAGGTGCCACTTTCTCCCTTTTCTGTGGAGAACAAAAACGTGTTAAATGCATCAGTACTGAATTTAAATGTTGGCCAAGCAACACACAAAATGCGGTAGTAGATTAAAGTATGAGGTTTCATCCATCATTCTTGCAGACATATCTTTCTATCTATAGGCACACACAAATTCAAAGGGCAGTTTATCACAGAAAATAATCGGACACCAATTCTTATCTCACTTGACTGTGGTAAACAGTGTGAGTAAGTGGTCTCTGCATTTCACACATTGCAGTTGTTCTTCATGCTTTAGCAGGCACATCATTTCTACGTGCTTCTTGCAGTTTTAGTAGGCCAACCAACATTTGGAAAGCACAACAATGAGAAGCATTTCTATTACAAGAGGAAATATTATACAATATACAAAAAACAGAATGTTTAGAATTTAGCTTTAGAATTCCAAAACAAAGCAGCAGTTATCATATCTTGTTAGAAATACCCATACACTCAACATAGTAATCAAGAATTCACAAACCTACTTAAGCCAATGAAAGAGAATTCTGCTTACCATCATTTTTTCAAACAGAGCCAGGACTTCTTTATCAGACAGCTGCTTAGGAGGAAAGTCATCATGCTCAGATGATGTAGACCAGTCAGCAGAAGTGTTGTAGTTCTTTATGTTGTTCAAATTAGGCCGGTCTTTTCTACTTCCAGGAATTCGAATGCTGGAAAATCTGTCCAACTGAAAATAAATTAAAACTGGATCAATTTTTTTTAGAAATAAAATCTAAGTCATATTTTCAGAATATGAAATGAATCTTTAACACTAGGTGTGTGGAATTAGAAACAGCCATCACTGAATGTTCAGGTTTAAAAAGTTTACCGCCAGTGTACTTACATTGGCCATCAAATTTGAGGGGAAAAAAGAAGAAAAAAAACCACTATATGTTTGTTGTGTTCCCAGTTATAAGGCGTAAGCAAAATTAAAAAAAACATACCAACTGAAATTATATATATATATAATACATACATACATACACACACACGGCTTGAAAAATTTGACGGTGTCTCACCAGTCAGCCAAAAATTCCTATAGACTTGCAATTTATGTTAAACTAAATTGCATGCGCCCGCAAAAAACGCCCATAGGCGACGATTAAAACGCTTTTACTGCTCATCAGTTTAGGATTATCAGTGATTAATGGCTCTAAAACTATTGTTCTCACTCCGACGTTTGGGGCGATATTTAACATGTGCGGCACAATAGTCGTTTCCGCACGTAGGCGCACCCGACTCATACCTGCGTGTGTATGTGGGGGGCGGGGACTTAATGTGAATGCAGGAAGTACTGAACTCCCTTTGATCTCCTGTTACAGAGCCGTGCCGGTCCCGCCCGCATCGGCCACAGCGGATCTCGGGACCGGCAACGGCAGTGACAGCTGCTAATACAAGTGATCGATCGCTTGAATGTAAAGCTCCCGGGCGGCCGTGTAAATATTAGGGATGTCCCGATGCCACTTTTTTAAGACCAAGTACAAGTACTGGCCCTCATGTACTTGCCGATACCAATTACTGATACTTTTTCTATGGGGCCCTGTGATTTCTAGTTACACCCCTGATAACATGATTAGGTTCATGATGATCCATAGTACAGTACAGTCCATAGTACAGTACTATCTGATTGGATAACACATTTTATAGGAACTCTCTATAGCATCACACCTCCAAACAGAATCTAGCAGTTCGGTGGCTCAGAAGTATTGCCTTTAAGTTTATTCTATTAACAAGCTTTCCTAGTTCAGACAGTATTTGTAAAAGGTTGACAGAGGTGCTATGGCAGTATAGTAATTCATGATGTGGGTATGAAATGCAATCATAGTATATGGCAATAAAACTTTAAAATTTTAAACTAATACTCTATATGAAGTACACACTATAGTACACACACTATTAGTTTAAATCATGATCTATAGTACAACTACATATTATGTATGTACTATAGATCATGATTTAAACTAATAGTGTGTGTACTTCATATAGAGTATTAGTTTAAAATCATGATCCATAGATAGTAACATGATCCATCCGATTCCAAACATGATTTGAATACAGGCCCTTACTTTATTTAATTTTTTAAAATCAAACCATTTAATAGTCAAGAACTGTGAACATGAGGTGCATTGAGCTGCATGAACCTTCATACAATCTGGTTCAGCCCTGGTGCTGTCACTAAAACACTTTTACAGTAGCATGGATTGTAATAAACATTTGAACTCTTGTAGAACACTGGAGGAAAGTCAATACACTGCCCGTGCCAACCAATCCAGTTCTATTTGTCCTTATTGCATCACTGGGTAGAACGGAAGGATGCGACTATTAGCTGCAATGGGCAACAAATCTTTTCTTCTTCCTTCAGATCTGATGCATGAGGTACAGCTGATAAAGGTTTAAGGTAACCATGGACAAGAGAAAGTCATCAACTGATCAGGATAACAATCTCAAGTTCACAGAAAGAAAGAATCAGCCATTCTTGGACCCAGAATAAAGGGAAATAACCATGAGAGATGTCCCCTAGTGCCAAAATAAGTGGTGTCACAGCTGTCTACCCTTCTCATTCACCTAACATGCACAAATGGACAAGCTGGGTGTCTTGTTAACACAGGCCCTTACTTGATGGTGCCTGTGCAATAGAGGTGCCTCACGAGCTGCCGATAGCTTTTTTTCCTCTCATGCGAGGATGACGTCGGCAGCGCTGAGCAGCAGAGCGGAGGAGCGTTGCGTCACTGCTGTGGGCGGAACTCCAGGTCGCCGGCCAACTACATTAGACCCCACATGGAGCTCCACCCACAGCAGTCACGTGACCCTCCTCCAGCCTTCCCAGAGGCCCCCGGCCACCACGGAAGGAGCGGCATGGGCCCAAACCAAGTACTGAGTACATATGCATGCTTGTACTTTTCAGAGGTCTGATATTGTTCTATGTACAATCCTTGTTTTATTGATTGCATGTAATAATCTACTTTTTTGAGGTTGTGGATTTGGGGTTCTTGGGGTTTTCATGAGCTGTAAGCCATAATCATCACAATTATGACAAATCACGGCTTGAATTATCTTGCTTTGCATGTAATGAGTCTATCTCATATATTAGTTTCACCTTTTAAGTTGCATTAGTGAAATAAATGAACTGTGCACGATATTCTAATTATTCGAGTTTCACATGTACATACACACAATTATGAAAACCTGTGGCTGAAAGCTGAAGAGACTTCCAGGATATAGCATATAGCTTGAATCCTCCAGTAGCTGTACAGGGTTATTCAAAAATAATTGATGTTGCCTGTGCTTGCAGATGGTGGTCACATTGAACACTTGTAAGACAGGAAATTAAAGTTGATGTATAAATATATATATACACACACACACAGTGGGGCAAAAAAGTATTTAGTCAGCCACCAATTGTGCAAGTTCTCCCACTTAAAAAGATGAGAGGCCTGTAATTGGCATCATAGGTAGACCTCAACTAGGAGAGAGAAAATGAGAAAACAAATCCAGACAAATCACATTGGCTGATTTGGAACGAATTTATTTGCAAATTATGGTGGAAAAATAGGATTTTTGTACTCACCGTAAAATCCTTTTCTCTCCGTTCATTGAAGGACACAGGGCAACAGATCGGAGATCCTGAAAGGTAGGGTATATCGCCACCTGCAGGAGTAGGATGCTAGGCACATAACAAAAAAAGACAGACAGCCTAGGGGCGGCCCCTGCTGGTGGCCCAACCCCCCACCTGCTGACAAGTCTTCAGTTAGTAACAAACAGGAGTGCATACCCAAAGAAAGAGGGCGGGGCCTGTGTCCTTCAATGAACGGAGAGAAAAGGATTTTACGGTGAGTACAAAAATCCTATTTTCTCTCCCGTTCATTGAAGGATACAGGGCAACAGATCGGAGATCCTGAAAGGTAGGGACGTCACCAAGCAGTAACCAATGATGAATGGGCTAAACAACAACGAAACCCAAAAGGAACCACTCAAAGGGCCGCCTGCAAAACCTTACGCCCCAAACCAGCATCCGCCGATGCCAAAACATCCACCTTGTAAAATTTGACAAAGGTGTGAACGGAAGACCAAGTAGCGGCCTTGCAAACCTGAGAAACAGACGCACCATGGCGAAAAGCCCAGGATGCGCCAACAGCCCTAGTAGAATGGGCAGTGACAGGAAAAGGGGGCTCCCGCCCCCTAATGGCATACGCCTGTATGACAACAGTCCGAATCCAACGGGAAACGGTAGCTGCCGACGCGGCCCGGCCCTTACGAGGGCCACTCGTGAGGACGAACAAGCAATCCGTCCCACGGAAGGAAGCAGTAGCATCCAGATAAACACGAAGAGCGCGCACCACATCCAGGCAATGCAGTGCCCTATCCTTCCTGTGAACCGGCTTCGGGCACAAGGACGGCAAAACAATGTCCTCATTCAAGTGAAAAGCCGACACAACTTAGGGAGGAAGGTCGGCCGAGGGCGGAGAACCGCCTTGTCCCTATGAAGGACCAGAAACGGCGACTTGCAAGACAAGGCAGCCAATTCAGAAACCCTCCGAACCGAAGTGATGGCCACCAAAAAGGCCACCTTTTGTGACAAAGACAAGAGCGGAATGTCCCTGGAGAACTGGGCTGACTTCGCAGTCGGCTATCGGCTCTTCAGCCGAGACGGGCTGCATCTTAATGGGAAAGGTGCAGCATTCCTGGGAGGGAAAATGGTAGAAAGACTGGAGGAGCTTTTAAACTAGAAAGTGGGGGGGAGGGTATAAAAATAAAATTACTTAAACTAAACGTAGATAATTTAATCATAGGTAAAAATAACACAGAAAGTAGTAAAAAAGG